GAAAGAAATGGTGGTAGAACAAAGTTTAAAAAGTAAAGCATTTTTCTGGCTGTATACTCCAGATGAAAACCCCAAGGACATCTGTGGCAGAAAAATACCTAGCTGGCCTTTTAGGCATATGCGGGAACTTGATGCCTCATTTATTTAATTGCTTGTTGAATTTATATCCCACCTTCCCTCCAAGAGTTCAAGGGATGGGGATCTCTCTTCATTTTATCTCCACAACAGGAACCTTGTGAGGAGAGGTGGGCTGAGAAAGAATGATTGGTCCAAAGTGTTCCATGTAAACTTCCATGTCTGAGAATGAGTTTGAATCTATGTCTCCCCAATCCTTACCCCAAACCTTAACCATGATGCCACCTGGCTCTCTTACTCCCTGAACAAATATCTTGAGTGTCAGTAACTACAACCACAACACATGGAAGCTTAAGTCAGACATTGGATAATAGACAGCATATTTGATCAACGATCCATTGATTTTAGGTTCATCTCCCTGATGTGGAATTCTATCTTAATGTTGTGGATTGGCCTGCTGAACATCGGAAGGCGAATGACACACCCAGTCCTCTACCTGTCCTTTCATGGTGTGGATCCATAGACACAACAGATATAGTCCTTCCAACTTACGATGTCACACATTCAACCCTTGAAACTGCGTGGTGTCACAAATGACTTGTCTGTTCAGGGAAACAGAGGTAAGAGGGAAACAGTGTCCTTGAAGAGAAAGTAGAATGCTGTAGTTAGCTATGGATTATCTTTAACAAATCTGTAAGAAAGAAAATTCTGGCTACAAAATATAAATATCCAAGGAAGAAATATTAGACTGTTTCAGGGGTCTTAATCTTTTGGTGACTAGGGCTATTCTTAGGATTGGGTGAGTTGCTGCAGGGAACAGAGCCACCCCTCAAGTGCGTGAGACCAGGATTTTCCATTTGTTCCCGAGTTTGGGGAAGGAATTGGATTATATTTTGAGTATTTTTCACTGTTTATGGCTGTCTTGAGGTTTATGCTTCAGCATTTATGTGTTGCCTTCTCAAATGGTAGGAAATGGTCTGTGGACTGGCCATCATTGTCAACAAACTGTTAGCCTTTTGGTGGGCTTAGAAAACCTGGTTCTTCATCCAGGGTCTGGGCTAGGATAGAAGCGAACGCAGCAAATGTCAGAGCATGAGGAGGTTATATGATGTTGCGGCGCTATGTTTGGGATATGCAATGTTGTTGCGAGGTTTGTTTGTTTTATTTAGTTGGGTTTTATTTAATATTATTGTCAGCTGCTTAGAGTTATCGTGTATAAGATAAGTGGCCATACACGTTTCTAAATGAGTAAAAATAAATAAACTTTTACAGCACAATTGGAAGAAAAGAGAAGAAAAGACTTTGAGCCACATACAACCTAAGCCAGGGGCTATGCTTCCTGGTTTATTCAGTATAATAGTATGGATCACATACGCGTTCTACTTTTAATCCAAGAAATTCAAGGTAGAAGTGAAAGGGAGAGATGATTTTGCTACACTTGGGAGTCAAGTATTTGCAAAAATTTGTGATAATCATGAAAAGATGTATTGGTAAAATGAAATCCACCTTTTTCTCATCCCTGCTTGTTCTCCTGAACAGAAATATAGGACTCACATTTCTGTTTTGCTGCTGTATATCAAAGTCAGCTTCTCTTGGGTCTTTACTCTTCATGGAGTTCATATTCCTGCCTCCTGCATAAACCACAGCTTTCTTCTCAATTTGGTCGTCCTTATGTCCTGTCCACTTTTTGTTGTGTTTATTTCAAGTTGTATTAAATTATTCCATGACCAATCTGATTATTTTCTTCCCAGCCTCCTCAAAAGTCCAAGTTACTTTTAAGCTGAAAAATCAGGAGCAAGCTTGGTTCTGCTGCAGATTCACAGCTGATCAGCACAAACCCTTCTGGTTCAGACTGGTAAAACTGGTTCCCAAGTTCAATTGTTAACCCTCTGAATATGTGAAAATAAAATGGTGTGTTTTCCAGAGAAGAATGACTCCTGTTTCACATAAGTCTATACACACCTAACTTACCTTGCGAGATCTCACCTATTACAGTACCCTTAAAAAGATATTTCCTTCAAATGTCTATTTTATCTCTAAAAACATATCTGGTTCCCAATATATGTGCCTCTATTAAAATTGAAACATTAAGACTTAAGTTTTCTGTGCTTTACCTCTGTTCCTTTCACACTTTATCCTTTCATCTGTTAATTCCAGGACCTGTCTGGGACAACAAAGCAGAACGTGGATTTTTTAGGGATTGGGACAGCTGAGAAGAACATCTTCAGCTGGTGCATCTCTCCAAGGAAAATCCAGAACTAATAGATGCTGGAATAACAAGTTATTTCTTCTTCAAAGAAAAGGAGAAGGATCTGGGGAAGACTCCACTGATGGGATTCTTTGACTTTTTTAAGGTATGCTACCTCCCTTATTTGGCCCTTGTTAAATCCTGTAAGAAAGAGGCAAGAGTCTTTGATATTTTTCCCTTTGAAATCTGACTGAGAACCAGTTCAGCATTACAAGAACTCCTGTCTTGAACATATGTTTAATTTATTATTGTGCTGCCTACCATATCTTGTGCACTGTATAATTTGCTGGGTCTCCTTGACTCTCACATCCTCGTATGTTTTTTTATTTGCACCTATCATAGGAATCTGTGGCGGGTCATTTCTTCCTGTCCATATGAAGCAATATAAGCAAATGTTGAGATTCTGCCATATGAATTATGTTTTAATTTTCTTTGGAGAAATCATCCACATACTCCTATATAATATAATTCAGACTGTGAACGCTGACAAGTAGTGTGCTTTTGCTACTAGTGATAGTATTAACCAGAGATGTGCATTTAAAATATGTGACCTGTCTGTGAGCCAACTCCTTTCCATCTCATGTCATTGGAAGACTACCCTGAATACATTGGGATTCTCTTGGCTTCTTCTGATGGTACTTCAACAACTGCTTCTGTAGGCCCCCATATTTTCAGATAGAAGGAATAGGGGTGTATAATGATCCATATTCGAAGGCACAAAGATGATTTGACATGTATGTGGGTATGGACCTAGCATTTGATAACACTTCCTTAAATCAAATGAATTTTTCCATGGGATTGTGCTGGAGCCCAGGAAAAGATGCAGTTTCTTGAAGCGGTTGTCAACAGGTGCTCCTCAATCTGGATCACTGCACCACCCAAACACATCATCTTTGGCCAGGGAGTCTGCTAGCTATGATGTGAAAGAAAGTTTGCAAAGTTCATTGGGCTTCTGGAAGTTTCCTATGCTTTTTTTTTTTGATTACCAAAAGCAAAAAGTAGCAGAAGTCCAGAAAAGAAACGTTCTGATAAAATTGTGCAATTATTATGGCCAGAGTATAGTTCAGAGTCAAAATACATTTTGCGAATGCTGTTGACCTCTTTTCTCCTTCTTTTTCCACAGTATAAATACCAAGTGGGTTTAGATGGCACGGTTGCAGCCTACCAGTTCCCATACCTTTTACTGGGTGACAGTGTTATATTTAAGCAGGATTCTCAATACTACGAGCACTTCTATAAGGAGCTGGCACCATGGAGCCATTATATACCAATTAAAAGAAACTTAGGAGAATTGATAGAAAAACTAAGATGGGCCAAGGTAATCATCTTTGCCAGAAAAGGAAAGGTGAAATAACATTGTCTAGCTGTAGACAGTGTTGAAGAAGTACAAATATCTTCTCTTATCCTTCCCATGAGAAAAAGGAGTTGGAAAATGAAACAACATCTTAGCAGCTCACAACTATAATATATCAAAACAGGTAGTATGTAGCTTAGTGACATTAATATGCTAAGAGATATTTGTGTACACTTATTTCTAAATATTGCAGTTTGAATACTTTTACCTTATCCAGATAAAAGACCATGGGACCTTTGGAAGATAGCACTTGAATTACTAAAGACAAAGATATTCCTAAAGCTGCTGTTCTCTGTCTTCTAAAACCTATTTCTTTTTTCAGGGATAGACTGTTCATAAGCTACGTAGCATATAAATAGGTAATGATTATGTCAATGAAAAGACAATTACAGCCATATTCTTAGTAACCAAAATTGTGTGAGAGAAGTTGGACCTGTTTGTACACTTTGCTGTAGCTTGGACAGCATGTTAGCATCCCCAGATTATGAAATTCCTTTCCTTACTTGTGTTAAAAGTCCCATTGACTACTGCTCTGGAGCAACTCAAATTAAACCTTTGAAGTTGCAGAAGTAAATATGAAAGGACTGGAACTAACATTGCAATATGGCGTAGGGCCTGGATATCTGGGGGACCACTTGTCTCCAATTGTCTCTGCCCACCTGGTATGTTCCGGTAGAGCAGGGGCGCTCCAGGTCCCCTCTATTAAACACTGTCATCCTACAGGACTGAGGAAGAGTACCTTCTCTGTCACAGCCCCCACCCTCTGGAACAGCATCTCCCCAGAGATAGGGACAACACCCTATCCCTTGGGGTTCCGGAAAGCTCTTAAAACCTGGCTTTGGTCCCAGGCCTAAGGTTAATTATTTTTAGGCCTCCTTTGTGGTTTTTTGTTGCCTTTATGATTGTTTTAGTCTGACTGTCTGTGTGGTTCTATGTTTTTAATTGTTTTAACTGTTTTTTTGGTTTTGTATGTTGCCCAGGGTCCATTGGAGTTGGCAGCTAAATAGGTAGTCCTCGCTTAATGTTCATTCATTCAGTGACCATTCAAAGTTACAACGGCACTGAAAAAATCGACTTACAACCAGTCCTTGAACTTACAACCGTCACACCCTGCTGCTGCCATCACCCCCTCACCTGACCTTCATCATCGTCTTCACCTGCTTCCCCTCCATTAGGCTCACCATCCTGGCCACATGCAGGAGAAGCACCAAGGAAATGTCCCGCAGGCCACTACAGAGTGCAGGCAGGAGTTGTGTGCTGCCACCCTGCCAGGAAGGGAAGGTCTCGGGGCCCTGCTGGCCAGGACAGTATTTTGCACTGCACCTCACTGTGCGCCACTGCTGGCCAGGACAATCTTTCACCATGGTGCTGGGGCTTCTTGCTGCTCTGGGGCCTATTTGTTTCTGTTCCCCTACTCTAATTTCACGCCAGTGACATCAGGCCGGGGTGCGAGGGCCACTCGAGGAGGCATGGCTCTTGGAAGACTGCTCCTGTGGCAGTGGAGTCATGGGCAAGATGGGCCCAGGCAAGGGATGCAGGGTGCTTCCAACTTGGGTAAGCCACCAGCAAGTGGGCTCCTAGGCAGGTGCTTCTTGCCACACCGCAACTCTGGGGCTGCTTGTTGTGGCACTGTGGTGGGGCTGCTTGACACACTGTGCAGCTTGAGGCAGCACTCCTCGGTGGTGGTGGCAAGCCCAGTGGAGGGAAGGAAGAACAATTGCACCAAGGAGGAGGACAGGGAGGAAGGTCTGCTGGTAGGGTGATGGCAGTGGAATACAGCGGCCTCTTCATCTCAGCCATGTTGTGCAGGGTGGCTAAAAGGGCAGAGATTGCGGAGGAGATAGGCGGGTGGGGAGAGTTGAAGGTGAGGCAGTCCCATGCCTTGGAAGAACCAAGGCTCGGGGCTGGGAGGGACCAACCTGGCAATGAGTTGGATCAGGTTGGGTCCTCACCTGACAACCATTTGGGATTTGCTTAATGACAGCAATAGGGACTGCTGGAACTGCTGTTGCTAAGCAGGGTGGTCACGTGATGTTTTGCTTAATGACCGCTTCACTTAGTGACAGAGTTGCCAGTCCCAATTAGGGTTGTTAAGTGAGGACTATCTGTAACAAATTTGAATAATAAATATGTTGTGATGTACACTATTATTTAGGTGTACAGCAGCTCCTCTGGTATAGCATTTCTGCTAAAACCCTTTTCTCACTGAGTGCAGCCACCTTAAAAAGGGACAGAGTTAGTTTGCTATACTTCTTTCTTTCTTTTCTATTTTTCTTTTGCTTTGTTTCCTTTCTTGCACTTTTAGCTTTCTTTTTGATTTCTTTCTTTCTTTCTTTTTATTAGTTTGTATTAGCTTTTATTTTCTTTTTAAAACTTTTAATGAAATTATTTTTTTAACGTTGTTTCTAGTGTGGTGTATTGTGTGAATCCAGGTTGTTTCGTTTGTGGTTCAGTGGGTATCGTGTGTCACAAGAAATGGCTTACTTCAGTAAACAGAGTTCTACTTGTCCAAGTTCAGCCTGTCGCTTGACTCTTTGAATATTTTATTCAACAATAGCTCTGCATATCACACTAAGCTATAAAATGTTTTGTTTTATTCGTGCAATGAACGAATCCAATCACATTGGCTTATATAAAGTACAGTATGGCTGTATATGATGCATGAGTCATTGCTTTCTGTTTCTCAGGAAAATGATGAAGAGGTCAAAAAAATTGCTAAGGAAGGGCAGAAAGCTGCACGAGAACTACTCCAGCCTCACCGGTTTTATTGCTACTATTTCAAGGTGTTCCAGGTTTGTTCAGGCAAATGCCTACGGCCTGCTGTTTCTAACTATACATAGTACATTCCCTCTCTTTCTTCCATGGACTCTGACTTCTTTTAATCTCACGATCTGATTCAAATTTAACAAGAAAGAATACTCTGGTAGATTTAATATTGCGGTTAAATTATGCAGGGGACAGAGAGCATCCAGCTATTTATAGAAAGGGATGTGCACAAAATGGGGAAATGTTTTGTTTTAAACCCAGCAAAACCATTGTATTCCAGAGAGTCTTCTGAACTCTTTTGGATCAGCCATGGTTTGGCAGAACCAGACCCTGGAATGCTTTAGTGATTCCAGATTTGGGGCAAACTAAAATACAGACAGAATGAGTGGGGCAAGTCTGCTATGTATCACCTCCTCTCTCCCTTCCTTCTGTCAGAAGCTCCCAGTAAGATGTCCCTCCCATCTTCCCAGCACTTATCCTTCCCTCTCCTCCCTTCAGCTAATGTTCTGCCACAGCATACCCCTCTGGTCCTCCCTCCTTCAGCCACCATTCCAGCAGGTACCCTAGTGTAGGATATACTACCAACATCTAGGCAGGGATTCTCAAAGTGTACTCTTAGGCACTGGTGTCCTTGGAGATCCACCAAGCGATCCACCACAGCCTCCACATGGTCACTATCTAGAGTACGCCCATGTCTGTTGCCCCCACCTCTATATGCACTGACAGTCCATTGTCCAAAGCCCGCTCGCATCTCAGCTCCCACCTTCTTGGGTTCATTGACAGTCAGCTGAACAGGGCCAACTCACTGCCCTTGCTGTCTCCAAGCTGTTGTAGTTAACTGACAGCAACTCACCGAGTTTTCTTTAACCAGATGTATTGAAAGGGAATAAGATAAAATTACAGAATTTCAGTGACAGGATTACTTGCACTTTAGAGCCCAGTTTATCTTTCAGTTCATTAGGGTAGGTTTTTTTCCTTTCAATTTCCTAGTAATGGCTTTTCTATGAATTGATAGGTGGGCTGTTATGTTGCTATCCTCAGATGCTGAGGAATTTGCAGGTGGCAACTTTCCTGAAGATCTGTCAGGAAGTGGATGGACCTTTAGAGCCCCCACCTCCCTACATGTAATGATAGTCAGCTGGCACAGCCCACACATCACCTCACCCCCACTGCCTGGCCACAGCCTTCTCACTGCCTTAGCTCCCACCTCGTGCTGATGGGCAGATAGACAGAGCCACAATCCATTTATGTAATTCCCTTCCCACATTCTGTTGAGTTGGAAATAATAAGAATGCCTAAAAAATATAAGCATGAATTTCTGAGAGCTTTTTAATCCGACAGAATCACAATCCTAAATTAATTTAGTCAGAAGGAAGTCTCTTTAATATTAATGATGTTTACTCTCTTAAGATCTGTAGTTAGGATTGCAAAACCACTGGTTTACCAAAAAAAAAAAAAAATCTATTAAGTAAAAAATGTCCAGCGTAGGGAATAATTGGCTAAAGAGAAGATTCAGATAGAAAAAGACGGAAAACTTTTTGTTTCGAATAACACACTGTTCAGTTCCTTTTAAACAGATTTATTTATTTCAGAAATATGCTCAGCACCAAGCCAGTAAACCTGAAATACGGGATGGAATGGAATTTATACCTCAGCTTGATGACAGGACTTGTCTGCAACTACCACAGGAAAACGCCTTCTAGGGAAGAACTTTAAGTAAATGGTGCCAAATGGGATCCTAGTGTGTTGCAAGAGTGATGCAATACTTTTAATGACATTTAAAGGTGTGAAATCTGGCACAGATAAGTATTTACAAAACAATGTTACACAGAACATAGGCACTATTGAGTTTAATGTGGTTTAACGTGCTTCACTTAACAACCAAGTTGCCGGTCCCAATTGTGGTCGCTAAACAAGGACTACCTGTAATGGAAAAACTCTTCTGAACTTGTTTACATGCATCTTTATGCTGATCTGTAGTTTGAAGTCATATTCAGATGACTTTCAAGTGTTCAAAGTAGTCCATGCGATGTATTTCAGCTATCCCTGCAACAATTCTCTAAGGTAGGCCAGTATTACTATTTAAAACAATAATTCCAAACTTTGAGTCCTCAGATGTTAGATTATACTCAGTCCCCATCATCCCTGATCAGTACAAGTAGGAGATAATGGGAATTGTAACGTCTGCAAACCAAGATTGGAAAGTGCTGATTTTGATGTAAAGTTAACTGAGAAGAATTAGCCTTTCCAAATGGCTTTAAAAAGTGCTAAGGGAAGAATAAATGGGACAGGTTCCTTTTATACCATTAAAAAAAAAGTCTTGGCATGACTTTAAATAAGGAGCTGTTTGTATCAAGGCTATTGTACTGATGTTTTTGTGAAGGACTTGCTGTTAAGTAGCCTAGCACTTTAAGATGAGTTAAAGATGAGTTTCCAGGCCAAGGAATTTATAATTCTGATAGAGCTACATAAACATAAGGGCCCTGTACAGCTCTTAGCTGCTGATTAGAGTCTTAGTACGAAGCCTGAAGGATTATAAAGCAACTAGCTCTTAATATCGAGAGTCAGTTTGGTGGTTATAGATAAAGGCACTAGACTAAAAGCTGAGAAACTGTTGAGTGACTTGCGGTTGGCCCTCAGAGAAGGGCAGTGGCAAATCTCTTCCAAAAATGAAAACTGCATGGACTTCTCCATGTGGTCACCAGGAGTCAAGACTAACTTGAAGGCACATTCATCTGCGTGCACACATACACACACAAAAGTTCCCAATGAGACATAGATGGACAGAATACCCATTCCCCCTCTGAATTTCTAATCCAGGTTAGTCTTCCCCATTCTGCTATTGTCCAGGTCTGCTGGGACTGCAGCTCCCTCAGCAAGCTTGATTAGCACGTTTTGCAGGCCACGCAAATGAAAGTTGCATTCTCTACAAATGGCCTGGTAGACAGGTGAAATCACAGCTTTCCTGAGTTAGTGAATCTGTCTGTGGGTCTCAAGTGTTATGGATGCAAGTTGTGTCTTGATTTCAAAACACGCACCTACCCAAAAGTTGCCCAACAGGCTCTAAAAATTAGGTCACTCCACAGTGAGTAGGAACATCTTTTGAAGTTGCTCGGTGACTAGACCTCTTTCCCATTAACAGGAAATGAAAGCTTGCATGAATCTGCCAACCCTTGAAGCTTGTAATGGAAGTGAGCAACCACAGTAGTTAAGTGCGGGTTCAAAGGAGCCAAATAATTTCCTACCGTCAAAAAGGTTTTACAGAGATGTAATCTGACTGAAACTAAAAAGCAACCTCTGACTTAGGAGAAATGCTTTGTTGTATATTGTTTTGTCTCGTGCACAGGAAATACCAGGTAAGGCTGTAATTCAGTATTGATTTACTTAAGAGTAACTCATTTGAGCTTACCTTCTGGGTAGGTAGGTACAGAATTACTTACCTGTACTTTTTAATAATACAAACAGTCCTTGGTGGTTACTTATCTCAAAGAAAATAAGTTTTGTCAGTCATAGATCCGGATAGTATTGGTTCAGTCCTGCTTCCTAGACATAATTTTAAATTAATAACTCTTTTAAGCGGCCATGCTAAAACGATGGCGTGTTTCACTCAAATACTCCAAATTCTTGGCTGCATAAAGCTCATAATTAACTGAGGGGGGAGTGTCTTTTTAAAGTTGCCAACGCCATTAAAATAGCAAATACCTTGTAGAGCACCAGTGACAAGGCAGACCAACTTAATTACGTTTAACTTTGCAAACATAATGGGTAAAAGCGGGGATGTCTCTCCACTGGACTACATGAACATTATTTGGCTGCAGGTCTCATTCATTTCAATGTCAATTTGGAGCGAGAAAGCAAGTCAAAATCTTCTCCACTGAAATAATCAGAATTAAAGTTTCAGTTTTGAATGAATGTGATTCATTCAATGTGACATACTTTCTTTAAGCAAGTCAAAATCTTCTCCACTGAAATAATCAGAATTAAAGTTTCAGTTTTGAATGAATGTGATTCATTCAATGTGACATACTTTCTTTAAGCAAGTCAAAATCTTCTCCACTGAAATAATCAGAATTAAAGTTTCAGTTTTGAATGAATGTGATTCATTCAATGTGACATACTTTCTTTTCACTGATGGAAACAGAATTAGCCTCTGTGGGCCAATTGTACTATGATAGGCTAATACTGGATCATCAGAACAGACATCCATCCAGCTTTAAGGAAAGCAATCCTTTCAGATATATTTGAGTAACTGTTTTATGTATAGTTCTTTAGTTTTTAATTAACAGAATTCTTGAAATAGATTTTTTTACATTCAGTAAAACTGTCCCAAATATTTAGATCTTTGTAGCAATAAATAAATAAATAGATAAACTGACCTTTCCTGTTTTCTTGATTTATGTCTGCTCCTATCATGTCTATGTTGGGGCACAGGGATCTTGTATTTTTAAAGGCTATCCTCTGCCACTGTCATTATGCAACCTCTCATACTGGTTGGCCTTCCATTGTGGTCTTTAGGCAGATATCCCATTTTTAAGTGCAGGCGTGAGCACTGTACATGTTTACCACAAATGTTTCCAGTAATGGACACAAACACACACAAGAAAAATCACCTTTATTGATATTATTCACTGATTAAGAGCTTTTGGGGCAAGGTTGTTGAAAAGGTGGTCAGACTGCAGTATCAGAGGGCTCTAGAAGAAATGGATCACCCGGATCCCTTCCATTTGGGTTCTAGGCACAGGACCAAGAGAGCACTGGTTGCGCTTATGGAAGATCTGTGGCTGGAGTGGGATGGGCGTAGTGCATCCATCCTGGCCTTCTTTGATCTCTTGGTGAACTTCTGCATCATTGATCATGGTCTGCAAGCTTTTCAGGCACAAGGCAAGGGTGTCAGTTCTCCTCTTTATTATTTGTAATTGCTCTAGGAGTCTTGGCCAACAAGATCTGAAAAAAATAATCAAGATCAAAATTAAATGAGAGGAATACAAGATGAAACTTAGGCAGATCGTGGAGTGTTAACAGTTATGGAACTGCGAAGTTCCACACAGCAGTTACTGGAAGTGATCAAAGGTTTTGGTAGCTTTTCTGGATATAAAATCAATGAAAAGAAAACAAAAATAATAGCAAGGCAATTAACTTCCGAGGAAGAAAATTTTGTGAAAAAAACAGACTGGCTGTGAGATAACAAAAGATCCAGTGAAATATTTAGTAAGAGCATACTTCAAAACCATTAGAAATCATTATGAAAAGAAATGAATCAAGATCTTGAAAGGTGGAAAAACTTAAAACTTTCCTGGCTAGGACTTAATGGTGACAATAAAAATGAATGAATTACCCAAGATAAACTTCTTACTTCAAATGGCATCAATTCAAATTCCAGAACAGTTAAAAGATTTATATGGAATGGGAAGTAATAATGACAAGCACCTGCCTCACAACACCCCAGGCTTAACCATTGTTGATAAGAAAGACAAAAAAGTCTGGATAGTGGACATTGCAATACCTGGAGACAGCAGAACAGAAGAGAAAAAACTGGAGAAAATCACCAAATATAAAGCAAATAGAACGAATGTGGCAAAAGAAAGCAATGGTAGTTCCAATAGTAATAGGCGCCTTAGGTGCAATCCCAAAACATCTGGAGCACCACTTGAACACTGACAAAATGCATTGTCATTCACAAAACTACCATCAGTCCATTGCAAAAGGCAGCTTTACTTGGAACAGCTTATATCCTGCCACGATACCTTTAATATTATTGAACATCAGCCTATCCCAGGTCCCTGGGAAGGACTCAATAGGTAGACAAAAATGCCAAATCCAGTCTAAACATCTGGCTGACTGTACAATCATCATCATCATCATCATCGATTAAATTTATATGCCACCTGACTCCCAATGACTCTAGGCAGCTTAGAATTGCGGGGGGAAAAAAAACCAAGGGTAACCAAAATTTGGCAAGACTTAGAGTGGTGGACTAGCTTTTCCCAATCTCAGATTGTTATTGTTATAATATTACTACTACTACTGCTACTACTGCTACTACTGCTACTACTACTACAATTTGAATTATAGAGTAAGATGTCTACTGTGGATGACAGAATGGATAAAATTTCCTAATAGCAGAATATCAACTACAAAAGGAGTAGACTTAGCCAGTAGACTTCACAGGTATTTAAGGTATAAGGAAAGAAAAGGCAAAAATCTGAAGGGACGTGTTATAAGAAAATCTGTAAAAATTTGGAATTCCTTAAAAGCAAGGATAAGTCCAATGATTTCAATAATACTATCACCATCAAATGCTTTTACTTTGAGGGACAAACACAGTAAGAAAGATCTGATAACATATGCCAATATGATAAATCTGGACTCAAGAAATAAACTAAAGATACAACAACAGTTGCTTAATGAAGGAAGGAATCTACCACGGTTAATGTATTCCCAAATAACTGTAAAAATAAAAAGTTACTTAAGAAGGAGGGAACCTGAGATAGTTGAGAGAATTTTAAATACTTATGCAGAATCAAGATAATTTATTAGGATGTATTTACAAATTGTTACTAAATATGACATGGAAACAGAACAAATTAAAAATTGTATAATAAAATGGAAGCAAAACTTCTTTGAAGTAATAATATTGGAAAAATGGGAAGAACTATGGAAACAATGAATAAAATTACACCAAGCTATAATTTGAGGGAAAATTGGCATAAATGTTT